AATCCCATTTTCCTGCCAATCAAGTTCGTTGCCTAAGTCTTTCGTTTGGCCCCCATGAACTTACAGTTTTTGATTAGAGGAATTTTCGTTCCCAAAATCACTTCTTGAAGGTTTAAAGCTTACTACAATTAAATTCCCTAATAATTATTATTATAGTATATTCTTAAAATTCGTATGATAATAATTTTAAATGATAATTTAACGTAATTTAGTGTTTTTACTATCCAAAAATCCCATTTCCTGCCAATCAAGTTCGTTGCCTAAGTCTTTCGTTTGGCCCCCATGAACTTACAGTTTTGCCGAAGAACCGTAAATCGGATTTAACTTCCAATCACTTGACATTCCATAAACGTATGTCCAACCCAAGAAAGGGAGATGATGGTGATGATGGACAAGGACAGTAAAGGGAAGACTCTGTGCTCTCTTGAAACTTATTCAAAGCAGGTGCGAACGCGTACAAATTGTTTGTTTATTTCCCCTCCATTTCGTGGCGATTTCTTTCCGTCAAGAATATCAAGAAGGTGGTTTTGCTTGCTGTTTACTGGTGAGTGGTGCTTTCTAGTGAAATTGAAAACGCATTTAATAATAAACAGCCGAAAACAAAAACAAAAAATCAACAATGCAAAAGAAAACAGAAGCAACCGCCGCCGCCACAGAGTTTCACTTTCAACCAACTTTTTTGTATAGCAATCTTTATACATTTTTTTGTACCAAACAACTAGATGGAGATGAGTGCATCTGCGATTAGCTAGAGGAATGGGCTTTGGGTTTGGGAATGGGTTTATTTTTAAGGGACTAAAGACTGGGAATCGGGAATCGGGCAGGGCAAATCTGATTAGGTGCGGACCTGGGGTGTGTGTGTGGAAATGAAATGGGTTCTTTGAGGGCTCACGTTTTCTTGGCCAATCCATAAAAAGCCGCTAATGGGAAATTATGTCTGGCCGCCGCGTAATGGCCAAGTAATTGCGATCGAAGCGTGTTGGCTTTCGCCGTTTCCCTGGGATGAGTTGGCATTACTGCCGCCGCCCATTCCTAGCCATGGAAATATGGTGATGGAAATCGAAATGGTAGTGCTTGGGATTGGGATTGGGATTCGAAAGATTATGCATTAATCTATGACTGAGTTTTTAACTTATATCCCTCTCTCTTTTCCCTCTTTTGCAGCCAAAGACTAAAGACTAATAACAGCAACAAAAACACCAACGAAGCCAATTAACAGGTGAGTAAAAAGCCATACGCCTCTTCTATCACCTTTTAGCCAGTGTGCGGGTTCGTTGGCCAAGTGCCGATACCTGGGAGATGAGTCTGTAACGGCTGTAAGAGCAAGAAACTCACAAAAACTGAATTGTCAAGTATAGGTAAATATAGGGAGTATAGGATATATAAAATACCTATTAAAGAATATAAACTCAAGGAAGGTGTATTGCTAACTAATAATCTGGGGGAAGTAAAGAACATTGGCTGCTTATATTAAGAGGAATAAATATTATATTCAGAGATCAGATTGGAAACATAATTGATGTATTTACTTGTTGTTGATTTACATATATAATAATTACTAATATTTCAAAGCAATTTATTAAAAGTAGGTTTAATTTTTACCTGAAATTCATAACTATGCTTAATAGAAACTCCAAGTGATAAGTCTTCTTTAGGTAAAACCTTAAACAGTGCCTATTTTATGAGACATTTCCCAAGATTTTAGCCACAAATTTCTGAAAAACATATATTATTTATAACTACAAAAAAAAAAAAAAAAAAAAAAAAAAGCCCTTGAATCTTGAGTCTCAGCAAGACCTAAATTACAGGGTACTTTGTCATCATTCCAAAAGCAGATGAAGATGAAGAACGGTTGGCAACCACAAATTGAATGACCGCCAATACTTTTGGTACTTTATTTTTTCTTCTTATTTCTTTCGTTGACAATCCGCGTAATAGCCACAAAAATATTGTGTCTTTAACAAGGACCGTTACATTAAAAAAAAGAAGGCGAGAATTTACACGGGGGAGCCATGATATTCGTTTTCTTATATTATTTTACTTGATTTTTTTTTATTTTAAGCATGACACTTGCAAAAAATTAGACACACAAAAAGCAAAACTTTATTTGTGACGACCTTAAATTGTTTTTGTTTGGTTTTTTGGCTTTGAGTTGTACGGACTTTGGGCCCACAATATAGCCAAAGTTACCTTACAAAAGCAATGGCTATATGCTCGTGTTTCTGAATAACTTATTGTGTGCGCAAGACAGAGCTAATTAAGCTGTTCGATTATATATAAGTATCTATATATATATATATATATATATATATCAGCTCTTTAGTTTGTGCGATTGTTTGTTTTGGCCTGGCTAAGACTACTCCATTGCACTGTTACTTGGTTAGTTGGTTACTTTGTTACATTATTACCCTGATATTACATTTAATACACTAAACTATGCGATCAAAATTCCTTTCTCTTTGTTGCGCATTCATTCAACTGCCTTTTCCCCAATTTGAAATGCATTTTATTACCGATTTTTATTTGATTTGTTTAGTGGTATATTTGGTACTGATATTTTTGATTAGTTAGTTAGTTTAACTTGCAATTCGAAACCCTTTAACTATTCGTATACTCAAGCTTAATAGAGTCAGAACTCCCTTTAATATAAAATCAAGTTGCACATCTACACGAGTACTTGAATGCTGCCCTATTTGATATGGTTTACGTGTACCTCAAGAAAACCCAAAATATGTATGTGTTCTAGGTATATTAACGATATTTTTTATATGTACATTTTTTGGGTAAATTAAGGCTTTTCAAAATATCATAAGTAAGCCAAAAATGCATTAATTTCAATTCGAACAGTTGTTCTGAGCTAGTTTTAAAAGGACTAACAAATCTGTATACTGAGTTTACAAATTTAAAAAATTAAAATTTTTGACAATTTTAACGATGTAAACCCTTTCCTTTTTTCGAACAAAAAATTGGAAATTAAAAAAAAAAAATTGTTTTCTGCCGGAGATAGCTAGAAAGATTCGCCTGTTGATGCTGATCAAGAATATATATGATTTATAGGGTCGGAAATGACTCCTTCACTGAGTTTGAAGCTTCTGACTGAAATTATAATACCCTGTAAGGGTATAATCATATAGCAAAATGTATCACCAAAGTCAGATTCAGTTAAAGTAAAGTTGGGCTGTTAATACATTACTTTAAATTAAAATTCAGTAATAATATAATTAATTGGTAAATAAACAAATAGCTAGCTGATTCTAGATCTAGGCCTAATCACTTAATTATTGTCTTTGTTAATAATATGATATGTCATAGTAAAGACTTACCCCAGTGGAGGACACGTGGCTATCCGTTTTCGTCATTGCTCAATTGCTTCCAGAGTAGATTTACATTTCCGGTGACTTCAAGCTTCTTCCTGATCATCCAGATGTTGTGCATGGGCCACATCATATTTTTCGGGTCGAAGGGAAGGCACTATCACTATCACTCGAGATGTTGACACTGGAGACGCCACGGACTGAATGAGGTGCGCAAGGCGGCAGAGCCCGGTATTTATAGGCTCCGAGGAAAGAGAACAGAGAATTTGAGAGAGGGAGAGAAATAGAGAATCTAGAGTTAGGCAGAGAGAGATAGAGTGTAAGGGGTTTCTCTAGAGATGCACAAAGAGGGAGATGGACATACCGAAAATGTTAGGGAGAAAGAGAGCGAGAGAGCTTGTGAGTGGGAGGGAGGTAGGGAGGGCGAGAGAGACAGATAGAGGAAATGGATATTTTTCTCCATAAATAGAAATAAGCCACATTTCTGCATATTTTTTTTTCGACATTTAACGATCGTTCCTATATCAGCTATATGATATAGTCGTCAGATTTTAATTATATTTAACCGATAGTAAAAAATAATAAAAATGGTTTTATAACAAATTAGATTAAAATATGTTGAAAACTGGAAGAATTATAATCTGTTTTCTAACTATTTGTCGAACGTTCCTATGGCAGCTATATGATATAGTCCTTCGATTCAATACGTTTCGACCTATGTGGGAGTTTATATAAGAGGACTTAAAACTGAGAGACTAGTTTCCGTAGGAACATTCAGGCAGACGGACAAACTGATATGGCTAGATCGGCTCGACTGATCATGAATATCTATAATTTATAGGTTTGAAAATGTCTCCGTTATTGCGTTGCAAACTTACAATTACTACGCTGCAAGGATACAATATTTGGGATAATTCCCTTAAACAACTTATTATAATTTAAATAAATCCCTTAACTTCAGCCAATTAATTACCACAACTTTTGCTGTATGGCCAGCTTCCCCATTAGTGTCTTTTCCAGAACAAAATGCAACTTTTTAAGCGTAGAATTCATAATTGCTTGCTGTTTCTTGGGCCTACCTTGCCACCCACCGAATGCACCACCCACACCACCCACAAGACGGCCCCAATCCGCGGGCCAAGGCGAGCGGTGAGCGGGACTGGGACACAGTGGCGTCTGAGGCATTAGGCACACAGCCAGAGCAGCCGGTTTCATTCGCTCGTTCGCTCGCTCTCTCTCTCGCTTCGCTCTCGTCTCTCTCTCTCACTCTTTCGGCACCTGTCGCCGTGACTCTATATCTTGGCCAACTTCTTCGGCTCGCTGCCGACGCAGCCGTTTGCTGCCGCTTTCTGGCCAGGCTAAAGCCATCGCTGTGGGCACGTCTTGAGTCCGCCGACTTGAAGCGTTGCGTTCAATGCGCTGCCAGCCGTCGATAAGAACGCACGCGAGTCACTAAGCTCACCGGTTGGCCAAGTGGTTAAAGCCAAAGTTAAAGCTCTTAACTGAAACTGAGAAAAACCTAAAGGCAAAAACTGTATGAACAATTGAAAAATCGGAAATTATAGGAAAACGCGCGCGCGTGTGTTTTTCTGCGAACGAATATTATTTAATAAAATACATTTTTTTGATTAATTTTTGTCGAGAGATAGTGAGTGTGTGTGTTGTGTGCTATGTGTTGTGCGTGATGTGTGCGAATCTGCATAAGCTATAGTTCTTTGATTCGGGTCCAGTCTAAGTACTTAGTGGATCGCCATGTCGTCTAAAAATCAAATGAGTGTCTTCATGGAGAAGATCAATACGGTGAGTGATTGGAGATTTCAGATTTGCAAATCTAGCAGGGATTATAAATATATATATTATAATGTATATACCATATAGATATAGCATTAAGTTGTGTCTCTCTTGTGGGTCTCTGGGTCGCGATCCATTTGAACCTCGAACGAGTGCATCTTTCACACGAATTAGCCTCGGTTAATGCGGCAAAACAAAGTTGGGATTCAGCTGCACAATGAGAAATATATAGTGGAAATGAGAGGAAAACTATATCAGATATATATATCCAACGATTATTAGCGGGTTAAAAGGGGGTTAAAGGTTATTAAATTAGAGGAATATTGATATTTCGGGCTAGTAATAATTAGATCAGTTTTATAAACATTTAAATAAAAAAAAAAATAATAATAAACATTAAAAACATTATTATTTTATTTCTGGCATTATGATTTGTCTTTGCATTTTTTTTAGGGTTTTTTAGGTTGGGAACATAAACCATTGCCCCAAAAATATCTTTACTTTAAATTGTAGTTTCTTAAATATGAAATCGAATTATTATATGTATAAATAATGACCTTATAATGGGTAATAATATGTATAATAATCCCTTAATTATTATTCATATATAATATCATGTATTCATCTAGATATATATGTTCTAAAAACATAATAAAAGATAATATTTATTACCCTTGCAGGGTATTATAATTTCAGTCAGAAGCTTAAACTAAGTTAAAAAGTCATTTCCGACCCTATAAGTCATATATATTCTTGATCAGCATCAACAGGGGAATCTTTCTAGCCATCTCCGGCAGAAAAAATTTGTTTAAATTTTTTTTTAATTTTATAAGGGGTAACATCGTTAAAATGTTAAAAAAATTGACAAAATTTCTAATTTTTTAACATTTAAAATGGAGTATGCAGGGCTTTAAACCTAATAAAAACTAACATAAATCTGCTTTCCGAATTGAAATTAATGTCTTTTTGGCTGAGATATGGACTTTTTAAACTATGAAAAATCAAAGAAATTGTCATATGAAATAATGATTCAAAAAATGCGAATATTTAAGTTTAGTTATGATATAAAACATTTTATTTACGTTTTTTTTACAGCTAATTTATAAATAAGATATAAAAACTCACTTCAGGAATGACTAAACAAAAATGTCATTAGGTTAATAAATGTAATGAGAGTCACACTTCCTTTAGTGAATTTAACCATATAAGTCAAGTTAAATTTGAGTTCAAACTCTTTGTTTATCCACCCTTTTATGGTTAAATTTTAAGACCCAAAAGATATTTAAACTTGCAATTAACTAAATAGCACTAAAATTAGCAAAATGAACCTGAACCCCCATTAGCTCGAAATGCATATTAACATAAAGACAAGTCAAGGGACTTTGTGACTTTTACTCATCCTTTTCTTTAACATAACATAGTTCAAGTTTAAAGAGTGTTTAAGGGAATCCCTTTGGTGCATTTCTAGGGTTTTTCCTAACCAGAAAAACACAAAAAGCACTTCACCTTCAGTGGGACAGAGAGAGGTAGAAAGAGAAAGAGAGGCCGTCTCACCTGACTCTCACCTGACCAACAATTTGGCGTCATTTGCATTCAAAAGTGTCGCCTGGCCGCTCATAAATAAATGAAATTGAAATTTTTGCGCCTCAGTTTTCCCAATTCCCTCACCGCTCACCGATCTCCTCCGATCTGGACGCATTTTGATTGCGGTGAAACGAAAGTGAAATGCGCCCCAAAATGAAATTAAGTGCCTCTGCCCCTGCCCCTGCCCCCCCCCTGTAAATGCCTCTCCCTCGGCTTCAATCACCCAGCCCCCCCTCTTGATTGAGTGCGCCTCAATGAGCTTCAATTCAATTGAATGAGCTGACGAAATGGCGCGCACCGCATAGCAAACATAAAACATAAAACAAAAATTAAACAGCAAAACAGAAAACAAACAAGTGGCCAAGTGCCCTGGCACTGGAGAAAAGAGGGGTTTTTCTTTCTTTTTCTTTTTTATTTATTTTAGAAGGGGCTGCAGCCAGTGACGGCCACTTCGAAGGGGGTTTTGGAGTAGTATTTGTATGAACAAATACATTTTTAAGATGTTTAGATACATCTTGATCATTTTATTTTGTCATTTACATATAGCTACCCCTTCTAAAAACTTGATTTTGAATGTTTTCCTTAAACTCCAAGGTACTTAACTATATGAACTGAATTATAATATTTAGGAGGCCTCGATATAAAGAGTCTAAATATAGAAAATAACTCTTACTTAACAGCCAGTTAAGAGTTAACTCTCACATACATTGAGTCAATCTCCTAATCATTCTACTAATATTAACTTAAGTTAACTTTTACTATTATAAATATTAACTTATTCTGCTTACAAAATCCCCTTAAATCATATATTTATTTATGAGGCCTTGAAGCCCCCTTAAAATAGCCCCTTCTGAGTCTGCGCCACTGACTGTTAAAGTGCAGTGCAGTTAAGCTTTGAGTATTTGTGCAACAGTCATTAATTAGTAATAATTTTTTGGTTGCCTATTTGTGCGAGTGTAGAAATGCTGATGAGGAGGCAAAGGCCTACGTTTGCCAAGGATTGAGAAATCGAATGTCTCAACAGGGCTCTTTTCACTAGAGATAGAGAGAGAGAGAGAGAGCTAGATAGAGAGATAGATAGAGAGATAGATAGAGAGATAGATAGAGAGATAGATAGAGAGATAGATAGAGAGATAGATAGAGAGATAGATAGAGAGATAGATAGAGATAGAAATATAGATAAAGAGATACATATAGAGATAGATAGAAAGATAAATAGAGAAATAGATAAAGAGATATATGGACAGATAGACAGAGAGATAGATAGAGAGATAGATAGAGAAATAGATAGAGAAATAGATAGAGAGATAGATAGAGAGATAGATAGAGAGATAGATAGAGAGATAGATAGAGAGATAGATAGAGAAATAGATAAAGAGATAGATAGAGAGATAGATAGATAGAAAGATAGATAGATAGAAAGATATATAGAGAGATAGATTAGAGATTCTATTTATTATTTATGATTGGGATATATCTCAATTAGAGATCTTATTTACTTTATACTATTTACATATCACAAGAAATACTTTAAAGTATTGATTGATGTGTGCAAAATTCCATTTGAAACCAATTAATCACTACTCTGCTTCTGTCAATAATTTCTTTAATAAAAAATCATAAAAAAATAAACAATGATAATAACTCCATTATAGAATTTATTATGAGCCCCAAGGCTGAATATCAAATGGCATTTATCGCATATTTTACACCGTCTCGAATGACACAACACCTTTTTTGCTTGATCTGAAATGTCACAATATCACCTGTCCGTCCTACGCTTGCTCCCCTTTTTCTACTTTATTTAATTATTATTTTTTGTAGTTTTTTTTTATATAGATTCTATTAAGAACTTTAAGCATTTATTTCCTGGCGACTTTTGCGCTCACTTGACATTCTCCTTGGGGCTTGGCCTGACATGGAACTGCACTTGGGTGTCACAAATCGCACCAGGAGGGAGTAGGTTTTGGACTGGAATGGGACGGGACGGGATACGGTTAGGCAATAAGTAACGGCGTATTCCGTTGTGACGTCAACTACCGCAATCTGTGCTAGAATTCCATCTGAGCTTTCTCCGGATTGCATAATCCCCAACTGCATCTGCATCTTCCAGCTCCCATCTCCATCTCCTCGAGTATCTGCCTCACCGAAAAACTAAACGTAAAAATAAGAAAAAAAAAGTATATACAAATTAAAACCCGATCTCGTTGAGCCACTGGAACTGGTTCGTCTTGTCTGCTCTGCTCTGGCGGCGGCGGCGACTCCAATCCAATCCAAGTCGGTTTTGTCGTTGGCCACTGGTCGCAAATTATATATTTATGACGTAAGCCGTTGGCGGATTCTAAGCCCGCCCGCCGGCCAGACTGACATTGGCCTAGCCCCCACCGCGGCTTGGAGAGCTCCAGGAGGGAGCTGGGGAGGATTCCGAGTCAGAGTCAGAGTCGCCGGCAGACGGACTGGATTCTCACGAGTGGAGTGCCCCGAATGCATGGAATGTTGGCCACGTTAGTGGATGGATGGATATCTAAATAATCGCACTTGCTCACCTCCAATTACCTTCTATTTAACTTAATAGTCAGAGGCTAGTTTCTCACCATCTTGGTGGAGTTTGAGTTTTTAATTGAGTTTTTAACTTGAAATGATTTAAGAGAGTTGCTTCAGTTTTGCATATTAATTTGTATGTAAGAACGATAACAGAGGATTTTTGTGTTAAAAGAAGGCATTATTGAATTCTTAAGCTATATAATTAAACATTTTAAAAAGTACTTATAGTAAAATATATTCAAATGGTGGTATATTTAGAGAAGAAACTACGAAAAAATGTGGAAAGATTGCCTTATTTAATCCTTAATATAACCGTGAATATAGTTTTTAATTTAGAATTGAATCTGAATAGAATATAATGTGGCTGTAAAGCACTTTATTAAAGGTATTTACAGAGGAAATAAGAATACATATATCAAAAAATGCATTATAGAATCCACTAGTTCAAGTTTTCTATTACAATTTGATTTTTTACGAATATTAAGTGCCAGTTAAGGGCCTTAAAAAAGCTGATTTGTGACTTAGTGTTGCAGTTGAACACATAAATAAAGGTGTTTAGATAAGAAATAAGTAAATAATTGCACTATTTAATATTTCAACTATAGTTTTCCATTAAAATACAAGTTTTAAACCATATAAAGTAACTATTGCTTAGCCTTACAACCTCATCATTTATTCTGTTATTTGAGCTTCGAAATGAAATGGTTTCCCCATTAGAAATTGTACTCATTTAGCATATATTTTAAACGACCACGATCTTTGTATTTCTAATGCGCCATTGTGCATCTAGTAGGTAGCATCTAGCATCTAACACTCTAGTCAATAATCCGTAATCCACACTCTCGAGGTAATCCTAGACAGACCGCCAAGGTCCCCCAGTG